AATACTTTGCCAATCAGTTTCTGAGAAACTTACTCTACAATTTTCAACTGAACTCAGCAGATGCACTAACCGTAATTGCAGAACTGGAACACATCATTTGGACAACCTAACTCATGTGCCTGTGTGCATGCGCCCACAGATACACAACAGTGCCAGGCCCACAAGATCCTTTACATGGTGGACTGCTACTTCCTGTCAAAAGATGCATTCCTGCAACTGGTCCAACCTCTCTGGAAGCTGGTGGAGTTTCCTCAGACTACCAGAAATGGAGTTACCGTATGACCAGCAAGTCCACTCCTAGGGAATTACCCAAAGGACACAAAAACATTAATTCAAAAGGATACCTGTACCCTGATGCTTACTGCAGCACTATTTATAATAGGTAAGACTTGGAATCAACCCATATACCCAAAACTAGATACTGGATCAAGAAGATGTAGTGTATTTACACAATGGAATACTAGGCAGCAGTCAAAAAGATAAGCCAGTGCCATTCAAAGCAACATGGATGGGGCTAGAAGGGATTATGTTCAGTGAAACAAGTGAGGGGAAAAAAATGGAAAATATCAGATGGTTTCCATATAGGAGGAATATAGGGATACCAATACGGGATCAGGGAAATAAAATAACAAAACAAAAATAAAGAACTACAAATCAGAAACATTCTGCAGGGGAGGGAGAAAAGGAGGGGTCACAACAAGGGCTGGAGGAGCACAAGGGACTATGTGATAGTGCACGGGTGATCGGATGGTGGGAATTCTATGGGGACTACACCTGAGAAAAGAAACCAAACATTGAACAAAAATAAACAGTGACATAAATACAATAAATAATTTATAAAAAAGATGCATTTGTCTGAGATGCTCACTTACATACATTCCAATATGAAAACAATTCATGTGTTAAAATGTCAGTTCACATTACAAGTTGAAAATCTCACCTTTCTGTTACTGACTAGGCAAACCTGTTTCTTTTTCTCTTTAGAGCAGACACACTAAGATGATAAAACCTGCACAAGAACCCTAGTGCATCATCAGAGAAAACCCAAGAGGAAAAAATAAAATTAAAAGGCTTCCTGTCTAAGGAAAGGTTTCATTTTACCTTTACTCTTAATCGACTTAGAAGTGCCCTCAACTTTAGAATCAATATGGTTATTTTAAAGCTGTACTGCTATAAAATGTATTGAAGCAAAGTCAACGTTATTTCATGAAGTCAAAAAGTGACTTTCACCCACATCACTGCCAGGTCCCCACAGAGCTCAACGTGTCTGTTGACCCACTGTCAAGACACGGGAAGAAAAGGATATGAAGTACCAGATACACTGAAGAAGGGCCAAGTTAGAAGGAAGCAAAAAGGATACAACAGAAATTTTGGGATTTCTCCTCCCCTCCTCTGTGCTGTGGGGGTTATGTTGAAGCTTCAGGTAGCAAGACACCCTTGGATTTTTTCTACCTGAAAGATGTGGCTGGGAGAGTGAAACAGAGCTAAAAATGGAATCGTTTTTACCTTCTTCACAAGTAGAAAGGTTTTTTTTTTTTTTTTAAGATTTATTTATTCATACAGAATTGGGGTACAGGCCAGAGATGAGAGATGAGGAGAGTGAGAGGATTCACCAGAGACAGAGAGGGGAGCAGAACAGGCAGATGGTGGAAGTACACTCCTGAGGGGAGCAGTGGGTGGGTCAGGAGAGGTCTGCCGTGCCATGTGGTCACCCCCAGGACAGGCGGGAATTGAACTCATGCGGAAGTGGCCTAAGCTTCTCAGTGCTGTGCTTTAACCCGCTGTGCAACCAGGGAGGGCCTCACAAGTAGAAAGTTTATACATCATGGAGAAACAGTCTAAAATGGCCCAGCAGTATTAAAATTGCTTACTGAAGTCAAATATTCTACTGTTCTCCCCTTTACTAGAGAAGAAAAGTGCTTTGACAAAACCCTCTATAATACTTTCAAACTCAAGGAACAGTTCTCCCTTCCTAGTTCCCTCAATCAGACTAGAGTAGAAAACATTTAGCAGCATTCCAAACAATCTGTGCCAATTTAGATGATTCATGGATGGCTTTCCCAGACTAAGTGGTCTACAGCCATGCTTTCAAGCCCACAGGCTGTGGGGCAGGACCTAATTACAGATCTGAGTCACTGTCTATAGTGGCCCGTCCCCCACAGAGGCACCGTTTCATTTTGAGGTATGAAATAACCCAGTCCACAGTCTTTTTCATTAAAAAAAAAAAAAATCAGAAGAAGAACACGTCATTCTACACGGAACAAAAATAACAGTTCACTGAACTGATTTCTTTACACTGGCCTTTTCCCTGAGAAGTCAACTGTAACACTAATGTTTTTAAAATCAGAAAATTAACATTAAATATACAATGAGATTAGATAGCTTAGCTATACTGTGTTTCTTGTGCCTGTGCTGGCCTGACGGCTTACAGTCTTAAACACAGCTGTCTCTCTACAGGAATAACTTAGGCACTTTTTCCTAGAGGTTTCCTCGATTTTAGTGTTGCCAAATAATGGCTATAATCTTCGAACATCGGCAACATTTTAAAATCCTGGGTCCACTACTGAAGAAGGAAAAAAAAAAAAAAAACTGAAGATATAATTGTTTTCCTTCCTGTAACATAAATACAACATATGAAATGTGGGAGGGAGGGTGGGGGGTGGAGAGGAATATGGAATATTTGGGTTTTCCTTTATTTTTTCACATTAGATTTCAAGCAAAATTAAGGCCCTGGAGGGCAAAAAAAGAAATCCTCCTTTGATTTTTTTTTTTTAAAGATTTATTTATTTGTGCATACAGAACTGGGGTACAGGCCAGAGGCTCAGGGGCGGTGAGAGGCTTCACCAGAGACAGAGTGGGGAGCAGAACAGGCAGATCTACGAAGTACACTGCTGAGGGGAGCAGTGGGCGGGTCAGGAGAGGTCTGCCATGCCATGTGGTCACCTATGGGGCAGGCGGGAATCAAACTCAAGCGGAAGTGGCTTTAGCTTCTCAGTGCTGTGCTTTAACCCGCTGCGCCACCAGGGAGGGCCCCTCCTTTGATTTTTACAAATTTTTTTCTATTTTATCAGTAAATTTGTTCTCAAGTTGAAAGGATTAAGTTCCAGGAAGGCAACATTCTAAACAAGGGGCAATTTGAACCCTCAACAGAGGAAGAATGAATTTTTTAAAAGCACATTAAATGACCAAAGATACATTTCAGATCATAACAAGAAAAAACTATGTCCAAGACTCTGGTTAGGGCAAGGGAAACGAGACACAGCGAAGGTTTCCAAGAAGCACTGTGCTTCAAGGCAGGAGGGTGACCAGCAGTCCCGCCTGGAGCCTCTGCTCTAACTGTGCCACCAGGACCAGGAACAGACAGACTACTCAGAGCCCAGAAGTAAATTGTGTCAGTATGCTTCTGTCAGACAGCTGATTGTCAGAGCACAGAAAAATGCAAATTTATCTAAATTTGTCCAAAAAAATACATTCTGACCACAGGACAGGCAGAGCTAATGGAATGCAAAAGCACCTCACGTGCAGGTTGTTACTCTCAGTGACTTACAGTGGAGCACATTTCCTTACAGATCACTGAGACACTCGGTAAAACAGCTTCTGACAGGTGTCTGGAAACAGATTCACAGCCTCTTTCCATGATGCTGAATTAATCCCACATTCCTTTATGATTTTCAAACAACAAATAAAATGTCTACAATGACATACTATACCCATGTAGTTAATGTCTAAACAAACATATGGGAATTTTAAAAAGACCAGAACCAGGACAGCAGTTTTTTCAGAGGAAGAAACAGGGAAGAGCCTCAGGGAGGATTAGCCTGGGGGGTTAACCTTAGTTTTCTCTAATGTGCTGTGGGAGGAAGGTCCATCTGGTTATTCATTATGCTCTTCCTTACACAGTTACATATGTAAATGTTTCATGACAGTTTTGAGGAACAAAAGCGAACAATGGAAATCTAGTTATAGACTGTTAAGAAAACTCAAATAACAGGTTTGCACTGCCAAGCGCAAGTCTTGAGGGGCCAACAGTGAAGACCCTTTCAGTATCAACAGCCCAGAAGACTTGATTAAAAAGCAAAGTCTTCAGTGTGAGGGTGGGGGTATCTGAAAGCACTATATTCTATTCTTGCGACTTTGAACACCAAATCACTACCTGTTAACTGCTAAGAGGGAAGAGAATGCCAGTCAACACCAACACTCCCTGCCAGTTTAATTTGATGGCATTATTTTGTCTCCTTTGCAGTTACTCCCACATCCCCCAGGGAGAAACTAATGGATTACTAAAAATAAAATGGAGATTAAGTGAACCACTAAGAATGTTTTGGCTTCCAATTCACACTGGCTTAGACAAAAAGGAAATGTTTTGGCACAAACACTTGGACTACTGGAAGAAGGACTGGCTTAGGCACTTTCTTGTCCTCCACCCTGTGTGGCTCAGGCTGAAGCCACCCCAGACCTCACACCAACATATAACAACTTCCAGAAGAAGAAAGGAGACGCAGGCTCTTCCTGCAGCTCTGTTTCAACTATGAGAAGCCTTCTGCCAAAAGTTTCTGGCACACCTACCTGGGAGTCTTGTTGGCTAAAACAGAATTACAGGACCAGAATTCTAGAAACCACCCCTCTGGCCAACTTAATAACCAAGATGATGGACAAGCAGGTAGCAGGTCCAGGATTGTCAGTAATCAGGTCCCAACCAGAGTTCTGACTATGGGTTCAACTCCTTAACATGGGAGTGGGTGGGACACATGTGTTATTCCAGCCCTGATAAACACTCTACTAGAATTACAGGCAATGATCTTTGGAAATAAATCACTAGCATCACCTATTTGTATTAAAATGCAATAGCCTCAAAAAGTAGATGAACAAACTCACCTTTTTGAGAAAAGTAGGTTAAAAAATTATTACTGTATTTTCACCATCTCAATGAGAAATTTAAAGATAGAAGGTCAATATTTTCTAAAGCAGATAGGCCATAGGAAACAGAGCATATTACTTACTATATTCTTGTGCCATGACTATTGAAATTCAGATGACAGCATCCACATTAATAATGTATAGCCTGGAAAAAGAAAAAATATATGTAAGAATTTTCACTAAAATTGTTAGGGGAAAAAGGATGTCCTGAACGAGCTCTGCAGATATAGGTTTTGTGGACTTCACCCTACGCCAGTAATTGAAACTGCAACTCCACCCCTTACTCCAGTCACTGAAACTACAACTCCCAGCAATACCAAAGGGAGGACTGTGAGGACTCAAAGAAGGATCTAAGCAACCATTTTGGGACTTTTGGGACTTTATGAGGGAGCTATATTGAGCTCTCTTTCTCTTGGCCTTGTGGCTGGTTCCTTTGCTCTTGATAGGCTTTCAGTGTGCTATGGAAGTTCCAAGTCAGTGGAACTGGTAGGATGCTCTAAGTAACTTGTATCTCTTTCTCTTTCTTTCCCTGGGTTGTTCCTTTTCCTTTCCCTTGTAAATAAACCCACTGTTGGCCCTTTTTGTATGTGCTTGCAGTACAACTGATTCTTAAGCACGCAGGTGAGGACCCACAGACAGGCAACCCAGTTCACATTGGGTTGCCCTTAACAAAATAAAACCTGCAAAATTTTGCCGTCTTAATCTTTTTTCTCAAAGAGGCAAATCAGTCTTTTCAAAATAAGTGGTGACACTTAAATTAGAAATTAAAGAAAATATCTGTACTGTTAAAGAGTCTGTAAATATTTAAGTTAGATTCATTTGCATCTTCTGTAGGCCTTACAAAAGAAAATAGAAAACACAATATATTTTAATCCAGTAAGACTGCCCTGAAGGACAGACACAAAACTGAAACAGAGATTATTAAAACGTCCTCAAAAACTATGTAATCTAACTTGTACAGCAGCCACATCAAACCTATTGCTTTGATGCAACTTAAAAGCTAGGTAAACTGGCTTCAATTTTTCAAGATCTCAGAAAAAAACTGCAGTTATCTGGTTCAAATATTTAACACTGCATCTTAATAAAAATCTTGGAATACTCAACAATACCATGAAATGCTAAAGAAACTTATCCACACAACTGGGGACTGTAAGATTCTGAAATGCCCTTTAATATTCAAATGTGAAAGATAGAACTTTATCCAGATGCCAAGACAAAAATGCAGTACATCACATTCTAAATCACTGAGAATTTAAAATCACAGACACCTAGCAATGCTCTGTATTCTCTGGGGATGCTGTGCTCTGACAAGGCAGACAGTAGCAGCTGGCCTGGCCTCTACAAATACCCAGCATGTGTCCACTTTCCTGTATGTGCAAGTTTCTATGGTCTTGTCATTGGAGGAAAAATCTTTACCTCTACCCTCACAGGTTCAGTTCCTGAGGGTTACAAAATAAAATGACAAAGACAAATTAGTAGAAGACAAGGCCTAAAAGGCCTATACCTCTTTATTAATGCTAATATTTTGATATGCTTGGAGAAATGACAGCAAGGCAGTGAACCCCAGAAGCAGCAGTTAGACCCCAGTTTACTTGCCATTTAACAAAGGCAGTACCTTGTGGGGAAGTGATTAAGAAAAAATGCATGTAAGTAAAAACCCTTTGATAAGATTAGTTAAGCAGACTCTTTATCTTCTTTGTGGTCTGGTGCCTTTACAAATGGAAATTCATGCCAATTTCAAGCAGAAAAGGAGAGCACAAAGAGCTTTACCAATGTCTACTGTTTGTTTCCCTCGAAATAGCCCTTATACCAAAGTAGTATATTTTGCTTTAGCATATCCTGACCTCAGCCATGTTCATAAAAATAATAATGTAAGAATATCATTAAAGTCCCCTCCATGGTGGTACAACAGGTAAAAGCCCAGCACTATGAAGCTGTCCATAGGTTCAATGCCCAGCCAAGTTGGTGACTCACAGGGCTCAGCAGACCTCTCAGGTCTCCCCTGCTGCTCCCCTCAGAAGTGGATTTCAGTAGATCTGCCTGTTCTATTCCCTACTCTCTTGTCAGGTGACTTCTCTCACCCCTTACCCCTCTGTCCTATACCCTACTTCTTGTATGCATAAATAAATATTATTAAAAATATAAAGGTGTAGGTTTTCAAATGAAGAATCTGACATATAAATATATCTATATATTTATATACCTTCATACACACACATGAAAGGACTGGGTCAAGTATATTAAAAAACTGATAAAACAGGAAGAAAAATTCAGATCAACCAAACAGGATACCAAAATAAGTTTACTGGAGAATGGAAAGCCATTCAACAGTATCTGATAAAGTAGAACAGAAACTTACACAGTGGCCCAGGTCTTCACTCCTAGATAAGGGCCTACCAGGAATATACACACAGACACACACACACACACAGGTCCCAGAGATAAGACGCATTTGTTTTAACAGGCAAAATTCAGTAACAAGTAAAACATGAAATATTCATACCATGAGCAATTTAGCATTTTTTTAATGAGGGACCAGGCAGGAAATGTTAGGCTGCATGGCCAACTGGACCACCTCAGCCATGTCTGTGTAGGAAAAAGCAGCCACAGATAGCATGCCAGTAGGTGGGTGTGACTGATGCCAATAAAATTTTATTTTCAAAATCAGGCAGCCAGCCCACAGGTTGTCATTCACATACGATACAGTGAGAATATCAATGAACCATAACTCATGGACAACCTATATGAATCTCACAAACATGATGTTTGAGACACAGAAGTCAGACACAAAAGAGAACAGCAATTCCAGCTCTGAAATTCCAAAACAGGCAAACTAAATTAGGACAGTAATAGTTTTGCGTGTGTGTATATGGTGGGCAGGGAGGTGAAGACTGGTGGGGCCAAAGGGGGATTCTGGTGTGGTCGTAAAAGTTAATTCACCGATTTAAGTGGCAATTTCATGATTATGTTGAATTTGAGAAAATTCATCAAAACCTCCACTGAGGTGGCATTTGTCTTTACATGTGTTGTAACTGTATATATAAGTAAAATGTTTTAATTTTTATTATAAATTAACACAGTAACATAGCAATGTAAATGGCCACTTTCTCATACTCACTGGCCCTCAAACACTGACACAGCACCCAGGCTTGCCCCTCACAAAGCACTGGCCAAAGTCCCTCTCCTGCAATGCACTGCCTGCACTGCAGCGAACCCTCTGTTCTGAGTTTCAGGCAGAGCTTTGGGAGATGAGTATGATCAGGCAGACGGCACGAGAGGCGAGAGAAGAATACGACACCGAGGGAACAGAGCGACAGATGGGAGGACTGAGAGCTCGGCAGAAATAAGCCCCTACATCTGAACATAATCTGCTGAATAATCTATATAGAAAAGAAAGTAACATAAGCAGCTTAAAAACACAATTTGGAAGGTCACCAAACTCGCCTTTTGAACAAAAATAAAAAGTTGACTAGGATTTTTTAAAGACTGATGAAGGGCTCTGTTTCCAGTACAATTTTGGACAATCTAACAGATTAAGTGGAAAGGAAGTTTCACCTTTACAGTAAGGAAGCAACCTGAGATATAAGACAGTCTTCGCTTTCTAGGCCAGCATGTCAATGTCTATACCTCAGTGTCACTGTTACCACATCTAAAATTGTAACTTGCCAGCAGTCACAGTCACTACATGACCAGAGATGTACCTTTTCCCCATCAGAGAATAGGAAAGATTCCTGAGTACAAAATACCAGGGACAGTAACATCATGGACAACACATGACAAGATTCCCATTCTACTGGGAACAGCTTATATCAAGAGTGAAATAAAGATGATAGCATAAAGACAAAATAGTACTGAAATTCATTCACAATACTATATTCACTTCATAACCCACAAGTGCAAAATACTGGAAATGGAAAGACAGAGAGTTCCTGTCTTCAAGGAGCTCACAGAATAGAGGAGACAGGAGAGGTCTGCTCTGCCATGTGGGTCATCTCCCTGGCCTGGGCTCAAACTCCTGCTCCAGTGGCTACTCACAACTTCATAGTGCTGAGACTTAACCCTTTATGCCACCTGCTTAACCCCTTATGCTTCCTGTGTCATCTGCTGTTCCCCTCAGAAGTATTATTTCTTCAAAAAGAAAAAAAAAAGCTGTATCAACATTAATTTCCTGATTTTAATAATTTTACTATATTTACATAAGATATTAATATCTGAGGGAGGCAGGTGAAAAGTATGGAAATTGACCTATTTCTGCCATTTTTTTTAACTATGAGATTATTCAAAACAAGGAGTAAAAAATATATAGAACAAGGGAAGGAAGGAACAGATGAGAAAGTGTGATAATCTTCTTAATCCAAAACATAGGTTCACGCCACTTTCTCTTTCTGTCAAATATTAAAGCTTATAAACTTTAATAAGAAAAAGAAGACTCATATACATATCACATATTGGTGTAAATGAGAATCTAAAAAGTAATGAATAGATTATACACAACCAAAAAGAACTAGAAAGGAACCAGACACAGAAGTTTAGACATTAAAAAATGTTAACTGAAGTTTTAAAAAAACTCATTTGCTGGATAAATTACAGATTGGATATAGATGACAAGTGAATTGCATACTGTAAGACAGATCTAAAAAAAAATCCAGAATGCTTCCCAAACAGATAAAGAGATGTAACGATGAAAAAGAGATTAAGAGACAAGAAAGATAGAATCAATAGGTCTTATATCTACCTATAAGAATTACTGGAAGATCCTGGAGAGAATCAATAATGTAAATGACACTGATCCTTGAATTCAGATAGGCCAACAAAACCACCAGCAGTGGGGGAAATCAATACGTAGGGACATCTGGATGAAATTACAGAACACCACATAAAGAACAATCTTAACTATAACAGAGAGAAAAGTGAATTACCTACAGCTGAATAACAATTAAAATAAATGTTGATTTCTCAACAGCAACAATGGAAGTCAAGAGAGTAGAGAAAGCTATTACCTTTAATGAACAGAGAGAGATAACTCTCGCATTCTATAGCTAGAGACAATTCTTTCTAGAACATTTAATGCTTTGTGACAGACAAGAGCTTACTATCAAGGGACATAAACTAAATTATAAAAGATGATGTTTGTGCAGAAGGAAA